CGCGCCCCCGCGCCTCCGCGTTCCCCAGTCTCCCGCGCAGCCGCCCCACCCGTACCCGGGCGCGCTCACTCTCCGCGCTCCGCCGCCCCAGTCCGGGGGCGAATCCGCAGGTCCGAGAGGCGCTCCCGTGCCAGATCCTCGCCCCGTGCCAGGAAAAACACGGGCCCAGCAAGACCAAGAGGTCTCTGACGCAGCCCCGGTGCCCTGGCCCTCAACACGTTTGGGGAACAGGGAGGTAGGGTGGGGATGGGGGGAATCACTGGCTTCTAGACTGGGAAAGAGCTTTTGTAAGGTAGAAGGCAGCCTTGGATTTCTCGCAGACCCAACTGGGACTTCATTCCTGGCTGTGTGACCTTGAGCGCCTTAAACTTCACTGGGTCTTGGTTTTCTCATCCACAAAATGGGCTAATGATTCCTGCTCTTCCCCGTGGGTGTAAGGTTCAATGAAATCAGTCATCTAGGAGAAGCGTCAGGAGGCATGTCTCCCAGAAACCACTTCTCCTAAACTACCCCCTCTGCCCCCATGGTCCATTCTAAAATTCAGGCTTAACCTGACCTCTTGGGACAGTCTTTCTGCCCACCATCACCCCCAATCTTTAAGCGATTTTTCCTTTGGGGAATAATTTTGGATGAGCCCAAAACACAAGGAGGAGGCAGGGAGCCTCCTGCCGGCTGGGCGCCTCCTCCCTGCTGGACATTTTCAGTCTTTCTCTTTTACAACCTTGAGAAAGATGGATTAATATCTCAGTGCTTGACAGAAAGTGGAAATTGAGGCTTGAACTGATGGCCCAAAGCCCGAAGTTTGGAAAAGAATGGCAGGAAACCCTGGAGAGGAGAGCAGTGTCCCAGGCTCTTAACATGCTTCCTCCCTCCAGCAGACAAGTTCCGCTTCTGAAGGGTCAAGTTTCTGCCTGGGTGAAGCTCAGCTGAAGACAACTGGGGAGAGAACTGGCTGAGGCGCCCTGCACTGAGGTCTAAAAACAGGGACTGGCCTCCCTCATCCCCTCCTTAATCTCTCTCTCCACTCAGACCCACCTGCCCCATTCACCCTGGTCCCCATCTGCACCCTGGACCAACACCTGCAAGCTGTTGGAGACAACTTTGGAGACTCAGCGTGCTTGGCCTTCTCCAGCGTCTTCTCCCTCAAATCTTCTCTCCCTTCAGTGCTTTCTGCTGATGGAAGTGGAAAAACCATCTGTCCAGGGACCTGCACCTAAAACTGGGGAGTCATCCTTACCTCCTCTCTCTCTCCCCATCTCCTAGGAGCTAGTCGGCTCCTCTCTCCACTGACACCCCATCCAGGACTGTGTCTTCTCCACCCTGTTTTATGGCGACACTCAGCTAGCTTCCAGGTTCTGTCCTGATCCTCTGTCCGCCCTCTACTCAGTGGCAGGCAGAGCAATCTTTCTCAGATGTAACTGTGATCGTGTCATTCCCCAGGGGGAAAACCTTCAGTATCTCCTTGCAATCCCTGATCCTTGGACTTGGGTAAGCTCTTTGAAGGCTTTTAATCATCTTTCCCTTGCTCCAGATCTTCTCCTGCCCCTGCTCCTCCGCCTACAGCCTGGATTCAAGCCAGTACCACCACAAAACGCAAGCAAGCAAACAAAAAACAGTAGTTGTAATTTCCCTAGTGGGTCTATGGCAATCCCTCACCCTGGAATGACCTCCGCCCTGTCTTGTCTTCCTGGAGAACACCAACTTAGGATGTCAGAAAGGGACTTGGGTTTGGGAGACAGGTTTGAATTTCAAATCCTTACACTTTTATTTGGCAAATACTCACTGAGCACCTGTTCCATCTTAGATGCTGTTTTCTTCACTGGGAATACAAGGGAGTTTAAAAATTATGGTGTCCCTCCCCTCTACGAGGTTATTAGAGATAGACCTTTAAGACAAGAATTATTTAATACAAGAGTACAACAAATAAATGTACAATTACAACTGTGACGGGTGCTATGAAGGAAAAGTGTAACAGTGGGGAGTGACCTAGACAAGATATTTAGAGAAGTCCCTCGTTGGGTTGAAATCACAGTTCCGTGGACCAAAGGGAAGACGGGAAGAAAGAACAGGCAGGAAGAGCAGACATTTGCTAGCTGTGCGATCTTGGGCAAGTTACTTGATCTCTCTGAGCCTCGGTTTCCTCCTCTTCGAAACAGGTTAATAATAGTAGTTTAGAAGGTAAGGGAGATGAGACCGAAATATGTCCTGTGAGTAGCTCAGAATCCCCCTTCTCCCTCTGGCTGGAATTGTGCAGCTCATTGCCCTGTGCTGCCCTGTGAGGAGCCTCCTGTCCTGGCTTTTGTAATGGAGCCAGAAAGTGGACGCATTATTGGACCTGAGAGGCTGGAGGAACAGGGAATCATCCCAGAAGGAAGAGACTATGCTGGTCTTCAAAACAAAGAGCCCACAAAGAAAAGGTGGGGCAACGAGGACTAAAAGCTCAGGGCGGGGTTTTGCAAGAGTCACTGTGAATGAAGGAGGTGAGGCACTGGGGCATGAAGGAGAGAGGAAAGGAAAGACGAGGGGGAATTTCAGAGAAGGATTGCCTGTTGCCTTCACAGAATTTGAGAAATGCAAGAAAACTATTTGAATTTGGGGATTCTCTCTGACACACAGCACAGCTGAGAGCCTGGACCGCATGGGTCATGGCTTTCCAAGTTGCATGGAGCGCTCGAGCACGTCGGTACATTCCCCTCCTCTCTCAGCTCACCTAAGCAGCCCCTCTCCAGGAAGCCCTCCTGGCTTCTGGGCTGAGAGGGGCCCCATGCTCCCGCAGACCCCATGTCAGCTCCCACTGCAGCACTTATGATGCTGAATTATTACCAGCCATTTACATGGCTACTGGCTCTCTAGACTCTGAACTTCTGAAATCAAGGAACTGGGTCTTATTCAGGTCGGATCTCCCCAGGCCAATGAGTGGGTACTTGGCAAATCTTTACTGATGGGAGAGTGGGGGAAAGAGGGCTCTGTGCCCAACACCATGACTGTCACAGACAGACAGCTCACCACCAGAGGCGCACACACGTGCACCATGCACACAGTTTTGTATCTGTGTTCAGGTAGTTCTGACTCCCTGAATTCCATCTACCCATTCATTCATTCAATAAGGCTTTGCTGAGGACTTATATACAAGCCATAGCCGTCTGGACTGAGCAGGTGTCTGCGCTCCAGCAGACCCCTGGATCGGCTTATAATGCAGCAGTCATGACACTGGAGGGGAAGGGTGGGGGAGGGAGGAGAGAGAAAGGAGAGGGAGGGGAGAAGGAGGGGGAGAAGAGGGGAGGAGGAAGAAGAGAAGGAAGGAGGAGAGGAAGAGGAAAAAGAGACAGGACGAGGAGGAGAAAATTACTTCTCTGCACCTCTAGATCCATTCGTACCCCGGTCTTTGCAGCTACAAAAGCCAATAAATCACGCTCTGGCTACCACATGCCTGAGTTGAGCTTCCATAGTCAACTGCAACTGGAAAGGCCCTGCCTAGCACAGGGAACAAACATGGTTCAGTGGTGGCTGAGACCAAGGGGATGGTCTGCCCGGTGGAGCAGGCAGCACGGGGAAGGGTCACACAGAAGAGAAGACACCTAAGCTGGAGGATGCACGGAATCCACCAGCATTCCAGGTGGAGGGGCATTCCTAACAGAAGGAACAGCATGCACAAAGGCTCAGAGGCACAGAGCTTCATGTGTGAAAGGGTAGATTTTTCAGAACTCTAAGGTTTTTTTCCTCTGTTATACAAAAAAAGAAACGTGTTTCTCATCATTTTTGGAAACAAGAGTTTTCTATCAATAAGACACTATGTGTGCAGAGTAACACCGGGCAGCCAGGTTGCTATAGGACCATGTCTCTCCTGTCTCCACGGGGAGGGCTCCTGGAGCCATTTGTCCGCTGGGACGATGGTTTTGTGTGAGCAGTGAGTGGCTGCCTTCTCTCACCCCAGCTCTGTCCCACATTTTCCAGAAGGCTCTCATCGGCCTGGGAAGCCAGACTCGTCAGCATGGACCCTAAGCCAGTAGGCAGCCCATGAGCTCCCTCTCTTGTCATCCCTGCCAGAGCCCTGCCCCAGAGGATGGCAGCAAGGAAGGGATCCTCCCCTACATTTGGTTCCTGCAAAATTGTACTAAGAGGATTCACTTAGGACATTTTAACACAAAGGGGGTTTCCCTAATCTAGCTGGCAAATATTCTTGTTTGAACTCACTGATTCTCCTTCTTCTGAAGGTATTATTTTCTATTGGATTTGCTTCGCTGAGACAAATGGCGAAATCAATAGGAGCGACAGTCAGGACTTTGGTGTTGCTGCCACAGCTGCTGTCAAAAGACTCAACTCTGTTTTACACCCAGAAAGGCTTGGTCCTTGGTTACAGGACACACCTGAGCTCCCCAGGTGCCAGTCTTGCCAGTGCACTCAGCTTGG